ACACACACACACACAGATGTTCCAAAATACCACAATAACAACAGAGGCGGGCAGTGAAATGTCCTGTGAGAGTTGTATTACTTCACTGTAGAGCTGCAGAAGCAACAAGGAAGAACTCCACTTGTGTGTGAGAACGGGATCAAGTTAAAGGAAGCTGCTTTTCTTGTAGCTCCTCTGCAGATCAGCAGGACACGAGTGGATGTGTGGAACCTGCAGCGTGAAGGAAAGAGCAGCTGGATCTTGTTTTTTTTTTTTCTTGGAGTAAGGCAAACTGAAGATGGAAAGGGCAGCTAAAGGTTTAAAGAGGATGTGAAAGAAGATCTGACGAGCTGAATGAGAAGACAAAGAGGATGGCAGAAAAACAAGAGAAGGTTGTCTCCAGTCAAAGTGCAAGGCAAGTCACGCGCTTGTACTGGTCTGACAGGTTTCTCCACAAACTCAGCCTTTTTGCAGCAGGATCAGTAAAACTGCACAGAGCTTGACTTTAATTCTCCACATCCCAGAAACTTGCCTGTTATTTAAATAAAAAAATAACATTTTCTGCCTTCAGTACCCTCCCAGTCTGATGTTGAAACTGGGATTTGATCTTTTGTGTACATACCTGCTCACGCACACCCAGCCTGTTGTGAAACCCAGCACACACACACACACACACACACAGGGACACTCCTCCTCAAAGCAGCAGGTCGCTGAAAGCAGTCCAACTGTCAGTGACTGCTGTAAACACTTGGTCTCAGTGCTCGCTCTGAAAGAGAAGAGGAGCAGAAGAGGAGGAGGAGGAGAAGTGAAGCTGGAAGGAGACGGCAAACTTGGACAAACTTGTGATGACCTGAAGCTGACTGGTTGGAGAGGGTTCTAACTTCTTTAAGTTGATTTTCTCCTGTACCAAGCTTCCCTTTGCCTCAGTGATGAGAAGGGGCCGTTTCCTCCTGGCTGCAGTCCTCACAGCCATCTTCTCAGCTGACTTCTACTTCATCCTGCTGCCCAAGCTGCACAGGAGACAAACAGAGGGGCTCGTCTGCTCCTGTGAGCCCACCGACGGGAACCTCAGCCTCCCCGTGCTGGGAGGACTGGCCACGCCACGGCTCTCCAACTGGACCCTTCCAAGTGTCATCCCGTCACCCGAGAGCGCTGATGGAGGCTCAAAGCTGGAGAGGCTGTTCGCTCATCCTCTGTACAACATCCAGACTCCAGATCTGAGGGCGGAGGAGAAGCTGCTGCAGGTGGAGCAGCTGATGGAGTACTACAAGAAGAAGGTGTCACACTGGGAGAGGTTAGTTTCTGCCTTTTATTGCCCTCCTTTGGGTGGAGGGCAATAACAACAACACTAACTGTCTGTTAGCAAAATATTTCATGAACCACTGGACAGTTCTACAAAAAAATGCAGAAAGCAATTACTGGATGTACATCTATAACAGATTAATTTTATAATAATCTAATTTAAAATGGCTGCCACAGACAGTTGATTTTGGCAAACACAAATATGTCTATAACAAAGTTTTATATATACTGTATATATAT